GCAGCCTGTGTCAATCACCTCTTTTACAACCCCCCCCCCGACTCCTGAACTCCCTCACTCATCCGGGCATGCACTGCGTCTCAAGAGGAAACGCAGCTTTTTGATATAAAGTTTTTCTTGTTCCCGAATACAAATATTTTTTTAAGTATTTGTTCGAAATAAGTATTCGTAAAAAACACATTATTTGTGCCTTTCCGAATACCGTATTCGGGTTCGGCTCCACCCCTAATATATATATATATATATTATATAATCATTGTCAGTTTTACTTAATAGTGTGTACCTACATGTAATCTATATTATTTAAACAACATTTCCACCAACTGACTCTCATTCAACAATGAATTTCCACTGACAGATTTCCACCAATCATTTCTTTTCTTGGGCGCTCATCAAAGCGCCCCAGAAGTGCAGCGAAATAGCCAATCGTGTATGGTCGCTAGGCGAAAATAATAAAGATTTGGCCTATCAGCATCGCTGAAATAAATGGTTTTGGGGCGCTGGAAATTTCGCCCCTGCTACAGAAAATGCGGCAAAGTTTTGGACTGATCTCAGGGCAGTCAGTCAGAGAGAGATGATGGCGACAACGACAGTTGAGGGGCAGCTTCCACCAAATTCGGTGAGATCGTTATTGAATCACCCTTTTGCGAGAAGGATGATGGTGGAAAAAATCCACGTTAAGGAGCTGGGACCCGACAAGCCCAAAATAAATATCACCCAGCCAAGTAAGGAGAAAGTTAAAGCCTACAACAGAACTTGAGTATTGTATTGTATTGGATACCATTCCTTTCCAAAGCATAAATGGAGCCTAATATAGCTGTAAATTGTTAATTTACTTTATCTGTGAAACTGCTGATTTTGAGAAGAAAATTAAATTATGATTGTGAAATTGTTGTCATTTTCTGACTGTTCATTTGAATGCTTATACTGGACTAGGAAGGGAAATTTATTGGTACATCAGCCCCACCAAGATTTTTTTTCACCAGCCGTCACTCACTTTTC